CTTCTTTGACATGTTTTATTTCTTCTGAAACTGAATGGATATTTTTATAGTTTTACTCCTACTTTTTTTTTTTTTTCTCATAATAACACAACTTTTCCAATTTGTGAAGTTGAACATTGACAATTTGCATATACTCAGAATAGATGATGTTCTATTAAAATACCATTCTTCTGTGGAAATAATTTTATTAGGAAAGTTAGGATTCCATTTTATTCTAGGACACCTTTTATAAGATCTGTTCATGAATTTATAATAAATACGTATTTCAATCTTTTTTAACCCACATTGTTTAGAAGATACGGTGTATGGTATTTATGAAGAGTGTTCATGTGTGTTCATAATACAGTTGTGCAGCTTTTCATACCCCTCTCCTATTTTAGTGCACAATGTACTTAGTGAACGATTAAAATAAATTGATGTAACTTCTTATGACCTGCATAGTCTTCATTTAGCATACAAACTTACTAAACTCGTTTCAAGAATTCTATAATTGAAGTTTTGCTACAGTAGTGATTTCTTTTTTCTCTGTCATTACTCCCTTGGGATAGTGATGGGAAAGCACAATGCGATCAAAGCTCTGCAATTGAAACAGACAGAGAAAAATGAAGGTAAACTCTGTGGTTGCTTAGAAACGTATAAGTTTTGGTCCAATACTCAGTGTCTTTTGTCACTGAATGATTAATGAACATGCAATGTTTGTTTACTGCAGGAAATTAAGGCAGTAAATAAAAGCACTACCGCTTTTATTTATCAGGGAAGTCTACAAGAGCACAGAGTAAGAAATCTACGATGAGAACAGAGAACCAAGAAGTACTTTATATTTCTTGTTTGGATTCAGCACTACAAAAAGAAGGTTTGAAATGATATGCATTAGAAGTATTTGATGTGAAAAAGAGACAAAGTACATTCTTACATACAAGTAGTTGGCCTTTGGGAGAAAAAAAAAAAAAAAAAAAAAAAAACAAACACAAGAGCTTTTGGGAAATGACACACGGAAAAGAGCTCTGCAGAACTCTGGTTCTGTACAGAGACTTTCAGGAGCCAGTCACAGGGAAAACATACCTAGGCGAGGCCAAGAAACAAATATAATAATTATCTAACAGATTTTTATTTGCTTTTATTTTTATTTTTAATAAAACTGAAGTTACCATTTCATGGTCTTGAACAAACTTAAGATGATTTGAAATAATCAGGATTATTTCCACTACAGGATATCCTACCTACTTCTGGCTAAGACGAGTCATGTCAAATTTCATGACAACAAAGGTGTTGGCAGCGTCTAAACTAAAAATCAGCTCGTTTCATTTGTCCTGTCTGTGTCCTATTTGTAAAAAACATTTCCTCTGTATTCATTCCAATGTATACTATATTAATTAGATTGAACATGCATACAAGAAAAATTGACATATGTTCATAATTGCCAATTTTAAACACCTACAGTAAAGGTTAGCCATACAGACCATGAAATATTGCTTGAGACCAACAACTTGCCATTTCCCTTTATCTTTTGTCTTAAAAACTGAAATATTGCATGTTCTTCTCTAGTTAGTCTTTACTACAGTAACTCTTCTAAGACAAAAATCACGTTTATTTATTTATTTATTTATTTATTTTACCAGAGAGAAAATTAGAGGCTCTTTGCAAAGCTCTGAGAAAACATTGTAGAAATATTAGGTTTCTAAGCAACATCTGAATTTTAAGCATATTCATTTGAGCTCCCCTTTTTTTCTTTTTCCCATCCCAATCTCTTTTTCTAACAAATGGTACGTGAGAACTTGTGCCATGTTCTTGGCTTTGCAGCCAAGAACAGCCTTCACAGCCTTTTCCTCATCCACCCAGCATGTCACTTTGTCATAGAAGGAGATCACATTCCTCAAGCAGGACCTGCCTTTCATAAACCCATGCTGACTGGGCCTCATTGCCTGGTTGCCCTGCAAGTGCCGCATGATGACACTCAAGATAATCTGCTCCATGAGCTTCCCTGGCACTGAGGTCAAACTAACAGGTGTATAGTTCCCCGGGTCTACCCTCCGGCCCTTCTTGTAGATGGGTGTCACATTTCCTAGCTGCCAGTTGACTGGGACCTCCCCTGATAGCCAGGACTGGCTATCAGGGGAGGTCCCAGTCAACTGGCAGCTAGGAAATGATAAATGATGGAAAGTGGCTTGGCCAGCTCCTCCGCCAGTTCTCTCAGTACTCTCAGGAGGATCCCATCCGGCTGCTTTGACCTGTGTAAATCCAAGTGCTGTAGCAGGTCGCCAGCCATTTCCTGGTGTATTATGAGGGCCACATTCTGTTCCCCATCCCCTTCACCAGCTCAGGGTGCTGGGTATCCAGGGAACAACTGCTCTTGCCGCTAAAGACTGAGGCAAAGAAGGCATTAAGCACCTCAGCCTTTTCCTCATCTCTTGTAACTAGGTTTCCCCCCACATCCAGTAAAGGATGGAGATTCTCCTTAGACCTCCTTTTTGTGTTGATGCATTTATAAAAACATTTTTTGTTATCTTTAATGGCAGTAGCCAGTTTGAGCTCCAGATGAGCTTTGGCCTTTCTAATTTTGTCCCTGCACAGCCTTGCAACACCCTTATAGTCCTTATAGTCCACTCCATCCTTATAGAGTGGCCCATCCTCTTTTCCGAAGATTATAAACCCTCTTTTTTCTCCTAAGCTCAAGTCACAAACTAATTTCTTCCTGTGACTTTTAAAAATTGTACTGCAAGATCTGTTTCTACTACGGATAAATATCACACTGATTACAGTTTCCTTGCTTGCAGGTGTGGCTATCCTAACAATTGATTTTGTAACTCATCTCTCAGGGCTATTCCTTCAACAGACACTAGAAGCACAGCATGGTGAAACTTCACAGACAGCTTTTTGCATATTAGTGTGAATCTTACTTCTTATGTGAACAGAATAAAACTATTAATATTACATAGTATACCTATTTTTCAGTTGGAAAATGAATTTATAGCTACACAATTAAGGGCAAGACAAGACTGACAAAACTATTTCTAGCTTAATTTTCCAATAAAGAGTATTATCCAGCAAGGCACAGTGAATTTATATGTCCCAATGGCATTCTTTCTCTAATTTTACAGCTATTTCTACAAAGAGTAGATTTTGTCAAACACAGATTTAACACACCTCAAAGATTTAAAATGTAATGGAAATGTGAGTCCCACAGAACATAGAATTGGTCTTAAAATATAATAATTATTGAGAGATTAAATGATATAAATCTTAATCTTATTAATCGAGTTTAGATATACAGCCTACTTTCTTTATCTGTGAATTATAATGCACTTAGAAGGACAAAGGGAATAGGGTTAAGGTTTAATTTATCTTCAGTCATGACAAATAGTTCAACTCCTCAAGACCTCTAACTCCAGTTGGAGTCTTCCTCTGCTTTCTCTCTTCTCATTTTCTCAAAATACTAATTTGAGCCATACTGACTAAACGGCTAAATATACTAGCTGGTAGCAGCAAAAAAAATTACACCCTCTCCCCCAAGTCAAAATAATTAAACCCCCACTTACATGGAAAAGTGCATCTTTTCTGTGTCTTTCATGGTTTAACATAGAAATTTGACACTTTCTCACATTGAGCAATGTTTTAATTTCTCTTTTTTTGCTGTTTTAAAGTATTCACTTCAGTAAAAAGATTATTGAACCTCCTTCCACAAACAGTCTGCAAAGGTCTACCTAAACTAAACTGTATTCCATCAAATGTTTCCTAATTTTCCCAAGCAGTAACCAACCTCCATTTGGAGTTAGCTCCAGCTTCAGAATTTTAAATCTTGTTCTTTCATATCCTTCTTCAGATTTTAGTAGGTAGGGACATTTTCTTCATCTTTAAATATAAAGAAAGCTGCAGCATCAAATTATGCACTCTTCTGGATATGCAATTTCTTTCCCTCTGCCCCCTCTAGAGGTTGTGGCAGAGGGGAGCTCAATTATGATTGAATAAATTATTAATGCTTGCAATAAATGGGTAATAATACTAGCTTTTTACAATTTGTTGGGTGCTAGCAAAAAAGTGGGTAGGTCAATCACCTAGATCTGTTTTCCAAACGTTTCGTCATGCTGCTATATGCTAGTATGATTGCTATCAGCAAGCTACCCAGTTACTTCTACAGAAGTTTGTTGTGTTTGGAGGAAGGCAATGTGCTCAGTAGTTCATTCAAGAACCATTACGACTGTCTTATTTTTTTCCCTATTTTTTATATTGCACCTTCAAATTAGTCATGGCAGTGCAATATTTTTTCAACTACTTCACTGAAAATATACTCTGAGCATAAATTCTCTCTCTCATTTTTCTGTTTTATTTTCCTTCCTGTTTTGTCTTATTTGTATTGTTCTAATTGCAGTCATAGTAAATGCAATTGGGATTTATGTTCCAGCTCTCACCATGCTGCACGGATGAGATTTTTGACTTGCTAAAAGCAGCAGACTTAGCTTTCTGTCAGATGTGTCATGAGAAGAATAAAGCTTGTGGCTTGCCTAGACTGGTAGCGCTTACCTACTGTCACTATTATATTGTCATCTCTTGGTGTTCAAGCTAAATGTCTCCCTGAAAGTTCTCATTTTCCTTTCTTTTCCTTTCTTCCCCTTTCTTTCCTAATTAAATGTAGCATCTGTGACAACTGTACCCAACTATTTTTGGAAATGTTGCATAAACAATGTTATGCATCTTGCTGTGCTGCAGCAGCTCATCAACTACAGAGCTGCATGAACAAATCACATCTTTTCCCACTGCTTTTCTTCCCTGAAAAGCTCTACAAGTCCTTTTAAGTAATCTTTAAAAGAAACCCAGAGAGTATACCTGCATGGATTGACCACAAGGACAATTCGCTCCTCTGTGCTTTAAAGTAGAAGATAGCTGGCTTATGTTATATGTGTCAGTGTGGTTAGGAAAAATAAAGCACATTGCTAATCATCTAAGGTTATCATGTTTTCATACAATCTGGATTAAAACCTGATTTCTAAGTCAACTTGGCTTACATCTCGAGAATCGCACTCCTGGATGCTCTGATTTTCTTCCTTTCTTGAGGTCATGTGAAGATTCTGTTTCTCTGCTGAAGCATTTTGCTAGACATAAGAAATAAAAATAAAATTAAATAAACAGTTATTATAGATAAAACTTCATAGAAGTCACATCAGAAAATCAGGAGAACCATGAAAATCAGATATTGCAAATTGTTAACTACTTTATATACTGCATTTTCAGCAAGTTTCATTAAAAAAATGCTTTAACATGCATTCTTATTAAATCATTGTTTTATAAACGATTACTTCTGCATAAATACATGTCAGGACTTTCTATCTGAAAGCTGACCACACAAGAAATGACTTGGTGGTATATTGTTTTGTATGTTATTAAGGAAGATCAATGCTTAATAATGCAGTACAAGTGAAATTACATTTTTTTTTTTTTGTACAAACATTTGGAAGGGGGTTAAAGAAGAAAAGAATTTTGAAAACTCATATTTCTCTGCCTCATGCGGATTCCGGGACACATTTAGGCCTTGAGTTTAAGCATTTTATGAACTGCTTTAGATTATTTCTGCTGCCTACAGTCTCTGCCTGCTGGGACCTCACGTCAGTGTGAGTTGGCAAAATGTGCTCCATTTCATGCCTTTCATTTACCTCCTTAAACTCAAAATGGACTTCTATATGGAGCAGTTACTCTACAGTCTAGGCTATTGCTTCATATAAGCGGCGAATTTCCTTCCACTGAAATACTAGCTGTTTTACGCATGATTTTCCACATCTGCTGCAACTTCTAAGGTTCAAAGAGGCACAAATGAGAAAAATATGCACTGCATTTTCTAGAGAGCTTTTACTAAATTTGTACCTCAGTAGTTTTTAATTACCTTGAGAGCTTCACAATTTTGTGGCCTTAAATAATAGAGTATGGTATAGCATGATAAGGAATCTTTTCAATTAGAAATGATCCCTAAAAATCTGAAAAATATATCACTTGCATTAACTGGAAATTCTAATGTGCGTATGAATGCTTGTATATTCTGCTGAAACCAAGTAAAATAGCTGGATGAACCATAATTTCATGAGATGATCAGTATCAGCACCCTACTATTAGTTTGGCAGAATTACTTGTTTAGAAAGTATTCATCTTATAGTGATGACATTTCTTTTCACAAGCTCTTTCTCTTCTATCTGCATTTAGAGGTCTAATTCAAAGTCCACTGGAACTCACATTAGTAATGTACATGACTTAGCAAAGATTTAGAAGAATTTCCCAAAAATATATTTGCTAAAAAAAACCCTCACAACGCTATGACTTGTTCTTTCAGAAAATTCTGCTAGAATGTATTCCAAGAAAATACTTAAATTCCAAAAGCAACATTGACGATCCTCTGTTTTTGTTGATGTTTGTTTTTGTTAAGTTTCAGATATGGGATGGGAGCAAGGAACATATCAAAATCATTTCTCTGTGAAAAGGTTGAATTTCAGACATGAGTTTTGGAATGCTGAGTCATCCTTTCTCATGTCCCTTATACTGTATTGAATTACTAATGACTATAGAACTTTCAAAAGTGTTGCAGAACAGGAGAAAAAAATGCACAGGTTACTGTTTGTAATATTTCTTTGCTTATCAGCTCTTCAGTGAGGAATTGTTAGTTTTATAGAACAGATGACTATCAGAAAAATGATCATGAGATGAACAGGCAAAACAGATAAATACAAAAATTGTTTTGTGAAATAATGAATATAATCTAATGTCTGATCTTTTATCCGTATTGAGTTATTTTCCTGTTTGGACTGCAGTAATTACAGTTCTGCAAATCTAAATTTCCTCCTAACGAAAACGAAAGGAGTATGCACAGTGAATGACTCACAGTACATACAGTACACAGATCAACCTGACTTGTTGACTACCTGCATCTTTACATCCACATGGAAGGCCAGAAAAAACAGCCAGCTCGAACCCTTATTAACAGAAGAAAATATGTCTTTGTATAGACATAAGCTTTCTCAGCATGTTGAACTAATTTCCACAGAACAAGGGGAAATCTGAGTTACTTAGGTGAGACTATCATCAAGGAAGCATTTTCCCAGTGTCTTGTTTTCAAATACTACTTCCAGAAAAATGAAAACAAATTTTCCCATTCTTATCCTCTTTAATATTCAAAATATTTGAGTGTAACACTCCATCCTAAAATTATCACCTTTTTTTCTCTCCACAAACAAATTTCAATGTTTTTCAGTTTTCATGCAACTGCTTAACCACTTGAGCAGTGGGCATTACTCAAACACCAGCCAAAAGTCGGGAATGGCAACAGGTCTGATTCACTTGGTGCCTAGTGCCTACTTGACAGTCATCAAGTCTCTGCTATCCTCTGCCACACCTCTGCTATTACACAACCATCATCTTCAATTATGTTTCATACGGTTACCCTAAGCTGACTGAATCTGTACGTCTTCTAGATTGAAAGGCCGTGGTCTTGCAGTGGTCCAAGAAGTATACCAGAACCAGAAAGACCAGGTGGCAGAAGGACAGAAGACAGGAACATGTCTTGCCAGGCTCTGGCTGATTCCTGGAGATTTAAGTTCTGTGCTTACTTCCAGAATCACATATGGCATTCCTGTATTTTACAAAGGTACATTTAATCTATAATGCTTTGACACTAAGACTGACATCTTACATGAAACCAGAGAGAAAAAAAGTCGATATAGATAAATCAATATTTTTGAAGGCTTATCTGCTTGCCAATGATGTGGAAGTCTTTGAGGTAGACTTTGCCAACAAGAATCTTTGTTATTAAAAGTTATTTCTCCTAATAAAAAATGAATATGCTACTTTGCCTGGATTAAGCCTGTTTACTAGATAACAGGTTACCTAATAAAAAATCCACCAAATATTCTGCAGCAAATTGTTCTGGAAACTGTTTTGGAAACAGTTTCTGAATTCCTTCCCAATTTGCCTGAAGACTTCAGAGCCCTCCTCAAAGCTTTTAAATCCAAGATTTCACATGTGAATATTTTATTATAACCATTTTTTCTTGAAGTATTTTAGCAATTGCAGTATCTCCTGGTGTGATGTTACAAATATGACTAAGAAGTGAGCTTTAAATTTCAGATATTTCAAGTAAGCACATCTTTTACAATGCACTTACGCTTGCTGATTAAATCAGTTGGTGTGTGTTTTGCTTGCAGCCAAAATTCCAGAATACTTATGACAGGAAAGCAAGCCAAACTCATTATTTCTTTCTGTTCTCTTCCAAGGTCTGTATTAGAAGAAATGACAGAGCCCACCTATGCTGCATGCCTTTGAAATTTCCTTCACATATACTTCATATATTTTTCACTTTTAACATTCTACCAACTTTCCTCTCAATGCATTCATTTTTATCATAATATCTTCTAATCACTGCTAAAATCCTACAAAGTTAGATCAACTGAATTCCACCTTTCATTATCTGTTTTGACTTTGATACACAGTTCAATTCTTTACTATCTTAGACATAATCTTATCAGATCTTTGTCCTTCCCACATGGCTTTTTGGCACGACTGAATAATTTACTTTCTCTGGTCAACGTTTGTTGATGTTAGATGTCAGACTGCTGCTGACAGGCCTGCTTGCTGGATGATTTGCCAACATAAACCAGGACATTTACTTCCTGTCATTTAGGCCATCACAGGTTAATGTTTTCTACACTAAGGATTTCTGGTGCTATTCAATTTCCATATTAAAAGAGGAATTTTATTTTAATTAAGGATACTCATACGGATCTAATAGGAGGATTGCTGCATGGCACTTTGAATGAGATCTAAGATAATTTTTCCCCAGTGACAGACACTGTCATTATGATAAGCATATTTATAGAGTGTTTTGATAAATTTTAAGTGCTGAAATCATTGGAGTTTGCCCAGAAACACTTGTTTACCAGCCCACTCTCCAAACATTCAAAACTACCTATGGCAAAGACTTGCTAGCTAGTTGGCATGCCTGGTCCCTCTGGCTGTACTTTGTGACTTCTGTGTGTCATGTTGAGCAAGGTAAGCATGAGAGTCCCCCCTGGGCTGGGCGGGCTTCTATTCATCTGCCTTCAGAGGGATTGCTAATCATTGTCTTCAAAAGGGACTACAAAGAGCTCTGATTAACCTAAACTATACCTAAAGCCAAAGTTGTCCGCTCTTTCCAGTGCACTCAGGAATCTGGACTCTTTTGGGAGATGTCTTACTCCTTTAGGATAGATATGATTTATTGTCATACCTAAGAAATCCAAAATTGCTCAAGGAGTTGCAGCACTTAATGTAAAAACCTACAGCACATTTATGTGTAGCAGGTGGATGAAGTTGTCAGACTTTTCTGGGCAAGGTATGTAGTACAAGAGCCAAAAATATCTCCTTTCCAAAATCAGTTCTGTTTGACTGCTCCTGGAAACCAGGGACTTGGTCTGCACACCGCACACAGGCCAACTGCAACATAATGCCTTCATTTTGTTCAAGAAAAAGGCATCAATCCTACGATCTTTCCCTTCCCCCTCTCTTTTTAGTTGCACTATTTGTAATTGCAAAAGTATTGTTATTTTTGGATTGTACAATAGACTTTTTAACCTGCTCTTCTAGCCCTTTACATTTCAGATGTTTCTGCTGTAGCTCTCCACAACAGAAATCACAGTTAAATATGCATGACTACCTGCAGAGAATATAAGGCAAACCATTGTACCACGTTTCTTTACATCCTGACTTGAAAATCTTTCACAGCATAACCAACACATAAAAATAAATGACAAGTCCAATACTAATAACAGTACATCATCCTCTGTATTTCTATGACAGTGATGGTCATTGTATATGTGTATATACATGTGTAGGTGTATACAACAGAACTAACTTTACTACACTGTCAGTATTCAACAGTAAGTGGGAGGAGACGAGCTTTTTTTTTTTTTTTTTCTCTCTATTTAATCCATATCTACAGAGTTACATTAACAAATGGCAATTCATCTTGAAGGACTGCAAATCCTACAGTGTACCAGATCTTTACATTTCTACATATTGCTTCTTAAGCAAACAAAACTCCCCTCAATTTTTCATTTGCACTATATTCAAACATATT